TCTGACTCGACTAGTAGTGTTCGAGTAAAGAGCTTTCACAAGGTCTATGTACTTTTGAGGTACGCCTTTCAATGACAGACACTGCCACAGAACCACTCGGTCTGCGAGGTCAAATGCTGCTTTTAAGTCAAGAAAGACCACAATTGTCAGACGCCGATAAGTATGCCTGTGTTCTAGAACCTGACGAACGGTGAATATGTGGTCTATGCATCCACGATCAGGTCTGAAGTCAGCTTGGTTCTCCCATGTTTGCAGTTCACGAGTCTTAGTTAGGCGTCCTATAATTATCGAGGCTAGTATTTTAGATGCTATATTAGTCAAACTAATCCCTCTATGGTTGTCACAGAATGATTTTGACCCTGTCTTATATATTGGAACGATAAGTGATTGTGACCAGTCAGGTGGGATAAAGTCCATCTCCCAGATTTTAGCTAAAATATTAGTCAACCTAATCGCTAAAACTAGACCACCATCCTTAAAGACCTCTGGAGCCAATCCATCTGAACCAGCTTCCCTTTCATGTTTCAGATTAACTATAGCCTTTTGAACTTCAGGTAGAGTCGGAGGACCTACTTCAATGTTCCATTCACACTGTCTGGGAATGGAGGGTAGTTGTAGAGTAGCTGAAGGCCAGCTGAACCGTTCTCTAAAATGTTCCGCCCATCGTTTTAAACGTCTGAACTGGGAACAGATGAGTGTCGTGTTGTTCCGAAATAGTCTGACTTACACTTGAATTTTTAGTCCCAGTTTCTTTTATTAGTCTGTAGAGTTGTCTTGTGTTCCCTATGGCCGCCGCCTTTTCCATCTCTTTTGCTTTCGTCGCCCACCACTGCTCACGATCGTTCCTTAGACTTTTGCTTAACCTAGATCTGATTTTTTTACGCTCTTCATCGTGTTCAGAACCTGATGGGATGAGTTTACGAGAATCTATCAGTGCAATAGACCTTGAAGAAATCCATTGGTTCTTTGTAACCCTGTGGTTTAAATCACTAGTAGATGTCACTTCTGTTTCCAAAGCCGCTTGTATGTCTTTCCAATCAACATCGAGGTCAGCCTCGTTTTCAGAACTACCTAAGTGTGACCTCAGTTGTTCCTGGAACCTACTTTTGGTTTTCTCATTACTCAATTCGGTTCTAATGAGTCTTTTTTGTGTGGCTTTTTTGCGTCCAATGAGGCGCAAGCAGATGCGTGCTCGTATTAGGGCATGGTCGGAGTCCAAGCAGGTACTCCAGAATGAACGACAATCTTCTATTGACCCTCTCCAACGATGACTGATGGCAATATGGTCTATTTGAGTCCATCATTGGTTTGGTGCAAGGGTCGCCATGTTAGACGATGTCTCTCCTTATGCTTAAAGTTTGTGTTTGCTAAAAATAAACGATTGTCTGAGCAAAGTTGCAGCAGACAATCCCCATTATCTGTTCGCTGAGCTGGAATACCAAAATACCCACCTAAATGTCTTTCTGTTTTGTTTAAGCTACCTATCTGGGCTTTAAAGTCACCTCCTACGACTACTATGTCTGAACGTTTAGCCTTCTGAAAAAGTTCAGAAAGCTTTCTGTAAAAATCATTTCTCACTTCATCCGGGCTGCAGTCAGTGAGAGCGTAGGCAGAAACGACCTGTGTCCCTATCCTCCCGAGTTCTTACGGAGCCGTTTAGCCGAACAGCACATAGACGACTATTAACGGGGATCCACTCTAATAGCGCTTGTTCCGCCCTCATGCTTAGTGCTATGCCTACACCTGCAAGTCCACGAGAACTAGCCATCGGGTCGCCAGATACACGGAGGGTGTATCTCCTCGGCATTCCGTTTTGCCGAGGTGAGGTCAAGTGTATGACCACATTAGGATCCTGTATGCGTGTTTCGGAGACACAGCATACATCAATCGTACGAGATTCTTAGGTTTTAGCCAAAGAAGCTTGCTGACCGATTTGGCATAATGTGCGTACGTTGAAGGCTCCAATGTGTAGTTTGGAGCGAGGTTTCAGTAGACCTGGGACAGTGTTTTGCGCACTAGAATCGTTGGCTGTGGTGACCTTACCGCCGGAGACGGATATCCGTGGGATAAGGCGAGGTGTGCATTTTTAGGGTCGACCTTTTCTAACCCCACCCCTCCTTGTGGGAAGGCAGCATCGCTGTCATGCTGGTTGTCTGAAGGAAACACCTTACTGCTGTCACACCTCTGTACAGTCAGCAGTACGACTTCGCCTTCGGACCATGGTTTTGTTGCTTTTAGTCTTACAGCTCTTCAACCGACCTGTCTGGCATGGTAGGACCTTGAGGAACGGTTGTTCCAGCCAGTATAGCTCAGTTACTTTATCACGATAGGCAAGCCCGACCACCACGTCAAGGTAGCAACAACGATCAGGGATTCCATCTTACACAGTCGAGTTGATTTAAGCATTTGCAGAAAATCAAAAATACATATTAGTACTAATTACTTAAACGAAAGTTTCATAAGTATTGGATTCGTAGTTCCACATAATTAGACTTACATTTATATAATAAAATGTTTGAATTGATTTAGAAAAGTGGCTTCAACAATCTTAAGCACTCAATTTCAAGAGTAATACTATTATCTCTTTATGTTTAAAATTATTAAAAACATATTATATTCTATGTTAGACTAATTATCGCGATAAATATACACCGGGGTATTTCGTCTTGGATAGGACTTCATAAACACTATCATACACGGTCATGTGAAATAGTTAAAGGATCTCTCGAATAAGCTTTTTGAATATTTTGACAGCTTGAACCGATTCCTAGATGTATCGGGCCCTAAGTTGCTTATGATTTATCAGAACGAAGATTGGCGAAACGGTAACCTTTGAAATTATTTTATGGATCATTACTATTATTATATGTATTTGATGTGTGGGGGAGGATGATGATTGGTTGTCTGCTTAGTCAGACATGCAAATAGTCTGACAGGTGTCAGGAGAGTTATATATTCCCCTATCCTTATAATAATTATTACTGTTTATTATTGTTGGATCGTGTCGGGTTTTGGGTGTGAAATATATTTACGTTCTAGTCAAGCTAATCACTTGTTCTTGATCTTGAGTGCCGTATAATAGACTGGGAGGGAATCTATTTTAGATATTCCTCTAAGGTAAATTAACGTTCCATTCGTGTAAACGTAGCAAACCAACCGTTGTAACAATATTCTTATTGCATAATTACTAAGTAACTGGATTCCTATATTTCAATATTCCATCTACCGTAAGCTTTCGTTTGACATATTAACTATTACAGCTTTTACTTTTACAGCTGCTCGGTTTACAGTCACTTTTGGTTTAATTGTGTAGGATAGTGTTAATATTTAACGGTGTAATGTGGTACATTTTGTCTGTATTTAAGCCCACGTGATTCAACTCAACAAGAGAAGCTTGGCTGCTGACTTCTCTTTGGACTCGAGGCAGAGGATAGAGAAATGATCACGGATAGACGGACCGATAAGAGTGTAACTCATGTTGGCTCAAATTTAACTGTGTATGTCAGAAGGAATAACTGGTAAAGTCTACGATGCCAAGCTATAGATAGAATGGTAGACGCAGAATGGAAAAACCAAAATCAGAATTTCCATGGGTAGATTTATCACGCAATAGCGATTAGTATCTCAAAATATAATAAGTGACGAATAGCTGAGCTAATATGTTAACTGTATCAACATAATTATGTAATTTGGAATCTATATTCCTTATAACATCAACTGCTGTTATGTTAGTATTTCGTACTAAGCTACAAAATACCGTAACTAATAAGGCTGATTACACCAAAAACCTGATCCTGAAATGAGTACATTACTTATATGTATTAGCACTTATTAGATTCTTAACATGCTTAATGTAATGAGCATCTGTTAACACCATGGGACAACATAGAAAGAAATTCATGTAGTGACGAAAATGTGCTTTAAAATCCTTTAGTTTTGCAGATATAAAAAATCAATTGTTTTCTAAACAGTTCTAGCTTTTAAATGTACATCATATAGTTACTCGATCCGACAACTCTGTTGTTAGAGAATAAAATTGTATAACTATGTTAAAATCAAAATCCATGTGGATTATTCACACAAGTATTAAAAATACATATCTTTAACTCAATTGAAAACGATATTATCAATGCAAACACTAATGAAGACCTGCTTCGATATATATATATACTGTTAGTAGACTTCTAAAACAACTATCTTAGTCAAACAGGTCACCAAATATCATTTACGCTATTTATGTAATTAATCTGATGATAGTTCTGTCACAACTAAATTATCAATCTTGGTTCACTACAAAAAAATCTATAATCTAGATTGACAGAAACCTCTTACACCTGCATAGACCTGAATAACTGGCAAATAAATATGTAATACAAACCGAATTTGTCTGATATGGTTTAGGTTTCCAGATTTTTGACTTTATAGATGGGGATTGTGAAATAACATTAGTTTTCACTACATTTACATGCAAAAAAACCGTATACAATTACTGCCATTCCTATAATTACTGACGCTCTTTTTAACCTCTTCTAAATTCATCCTATAAACTGTAAGTTGTTGAAACCCAGAAGCGTTTTCTTAGCAATGCACAAGCGTGATTTTAAGTCAATCAGGACAATACATTATTAAGTTAAAACAGTGAAACTGAACTGCAAACACATAAATATATTAATATATGCGTAACTCATTTACCAAGTTTTGTGTACTCAACTTTGAACCATAATTTTGTGTGTGAAGGACATTGATACGGATCAACTGTCCAAACTGAGGTATCTGGAAAGAGGTTTAGACATAAAATCTACTGACTCAAAGCCGTATGCTCTAACCACTGAGCCACTGCCAAACGACAAATCTGAAAGCTTGTTAGATAGCATTTCCCTATATCTAATTTCTGAGCAAACTTTAACACGTATTGTCAATTTATTAGAGCTCGTAAGTTGTAATTCAAGGATACCATTACTATGTTTGTTTTTACAGTAGTTTCAAAAAATAATACTCACCAAATATCAACTTTTCATAGACTGCCTTGTCAATCATAACATCAGCTATCATTTTTTGTGTAACCCATCCACTGGCATGTAATGCATGAAGAATTGAGATAGCAGGTGTATCATCTTCATTAAAATTCAATCCTTCACTATCTCTTCCATGTTCCCACAGCCAGTACAACAAAGCAGATAAGAAACTTGGAAGTAAGCATCTAAGAGGAGCAACTAAATCATCAGGAGGTACTGGACGATTGTGCACTTTATCCGGTCCGTGAAAACGGCAAAATCTAAAATTATCAAAAGTTAATACGGAACCCAAACAAATCTATAAGGCATAACTAACGATACTTCGTATATAATATACTACCTCTCGTCATATTTATACTAATAAGATTCTATTGTTTTGGATTTCCTGGAGATGATTTTGGGGTTACCTGTTTAACATTTACTGGTACACCATCACTATCAAAAGTATTATGAATTTGAAACGAGCTAATAAAATTGCATACAAAGTCAAAATGTAGAAATCCAAATGCATCCTCAAGGCAGCCAGGTTATACCTCTTATTTCGGCCGACATAAGCAGTTCCTATTGACGCGAAATACGTGAAAAAGATACAAATTACCTTTATGTCCAAATAACAATTATCAAGTAACCCTGCAGGAACTACATGACGAAACCCATTGAGTGACGAGTGACGTCAACCGCTCAGTATCTAGTTTCGAATAAGATCTGTCTTCGTATTCTCGTTATTCAACGATAGAAAAATGACTCTCATCCCTAAACTTGTCCTTATTTAACATTACAAACTACACCCAGGGTCTAAATCATCCTCTGATAACCATAGAGGGATTACTTTGACCAATATAGCATCCGAAATACTACGCTCAATAACTATCGGGTGCACAACTAAGACTCGTGGACTGCAAACACGAGGAAATCAGGTTGGGTTTAGACTTGATCGTGACTGCATCGACCATATATTCAACATCCGTCAGGTTCTAGAACACGTATGTTTATCGGCGTCCGACAATGATGGTCTTTCCTGACTTAAAAGCAGCATTTGATCCTGTATACCGCGAGATTCTGTAGCAGTGTCTGTCATTGAAATGTATACCTCAGATGTACATAAACATTGTGAGTGCACTTAACTCGAACAACACTAGTAGAGTCAGAGTTTATGGCGAACTGCCATCTGCTTTTGCAACCTCAAGTGGTGTCCGTAAAGGCTATCTACTATCTCCATTTCTGTTTAATTTCATTATATACCTACTGCTGGAAATAATGTTCACGTCGTCTGGATTTTCGAGCACTGATCTCCTACCAGGAGGTCCACTTATTGACTTAAAATACACAGATGATATAGTTGTATTTGGTGAAAACACTGATAAAATGCAGCCTCTCGATAGCACTGAGCAACAATACCAGAATGTTTGGGATGCGTTTCTCACCTTCTAAATGCAGGGTGTCGCTTCACGACTGGCCTGCGTCAACGCCTGAACTAAGGACAGGGAGTGAAGTAGTCGAACACGTTGACAACCTCACTTATCTTGGAAGTCTGATCAGTCCTAATGCGTTGGTGTCTGATGAAATCTCTGCACGGATCCGAAAAACTCGTTTGGCTTTTGCCAAATTACGTCACCTATGGAGAAGTCGAGATATCCGTTTATCAATTACTGGACGAGTATACTGCGCAGTAGTTCGTTCTGTTCTATTTCATATCTGCGAAACGTGGTCATTAAGAGTAAAAGATATTCGTAAGTTACTAGTATTTGATCACAGATGTCCTAGAAATATTGCTCGCATCCGCCGGGACCAACGGGTTAGTCATGATGAGGTTAGACTCAGGGTATTAGGGAATGATGTTAAGTCAGTTGATAAGGTTGTAAATCTTCATCGACTGAGATAGTTGGTCCACGTGTTGCGTATGCCTGAACACCGATTACCACAACACAGTGCTGATTAGTGTTGATGGTTTGAATTAAGTTAGGGTCGGACGAACCAAAACGTGGTATCAGTCTATAAAGTTACTAACTTTCAGTCTGAGCCATGTTGGTACATGCAGACTACTTGGTTGGGGTATGCGTGACTATCGTATTTCCATTGTTGGAGACTAGGTTACATGGCTCTCAGTCGATCACAATGGCGTAGGTGTATACACTCTCTGTCTTCCCTTAAACTGTGAGATATTAAACTTACTTTATACCTTTCTTTATACGAACCAATTCTTTCTTCCTGTACTATATCATTATACACAATCTTTCTTTTCTACATTACTACCATTGAAGTAACTGCTTCTATGAATTTGATGTTTATCTTGTTGTGATACTGAGGTGTAGCAACTTGGATCGATGCATATATGTGCCTGGTCCTACACCTTCAAAAAAAATCAAACTTTAGGCCTTGTAATGTCCTTTCATTTAAACATGGCTGTTTTTCACATTATCGGAATATTCTTTGTATTATATTAAAATACAGACGACGTGTATTAGCCAGATGATGATGAAAACTGAATCTAGTGATAAAGTGTTTACTTAACGGCCTGTTAACAATCAATTAAGATGATTGAAGAGAGTTGCTTAAATTTAAACGACAAAACTAAATAGAGTCAACTAGTCTATAAAATAACGACAAACATCATTCATGAATTCACTACCATATAAACCAATGAAGTGGTAACCTATTGAACTATAGACTGAATAAAAAATCACGAAATAACTGATGTACCCTGATTCTTTCATTACAGTTGCATCACCACAATCGCATGCACCACCAGCATGACTTTTAAACTTGTTAAAATCATGTCCTTCGTGATTACCGGCAGTGAAACAAGAACTGCAGAGAGACATACTGGGAGACATTCCACATGTTCTGCAACGATAAGCAAAATAATTAGTTGTCCATACAAGACTGCATCTTGCAGAATAATCGTATTCTTTCACTAAAAATTGTTATTACCACAATTGACTTCTTTAGAAACCTACGTTTGCGTCTCAGGTTATCAAATCCCAAGGTTCCTGATATAAGATACTCAAAAAGCTTAGTTGTGCACAACATTTTGTTTTTAGTCCTGAATCGGCTGGCACAAAAGCAGTGAAAGCGGAAGAGTTTCCGCACAGTTGAGAAGACAGTAGAATCAAAGTGTCCATTAACGCATGCTTCATGAAACTCATCTCGGAATTCTTCCTTAGTCATATTCAATCTGCCACAAACATATTTGATGAATTCTGGAGGGTCCTTGAACTCGATCTCATCAATATCCATCATGTTAGGTGTGATGTGTAACTTGACCAGATGGCTAGAACTGGCCTACGAGGAGATACTCTGATGAAATTTTACTATGTAATGGTTTTCGAAAGGACTGAAGATATTTTGTGTGCTGAGGGCACGTGGAAGAATATCTGTAAGAGGAAAGATCAATAGAAAATGTTGACCGATGACAAGTTAAGCACACTGAATGCACCCATATATGAAAACAAAGGCAAACGACAACAATCAGTAATAGCACAAGCGTAAGATCAAGGCAATCCGAAAACTCTAAAGTCGATGGCTAGATGGAAGCACCACTAAATTTATTACATAGGATATATTTGAAAAACTTGCAAAATGCTTAAAGGCCGTCTTAGTATAACTGGTGTCGGAAAACAAAAATTGTAATTGGCAAGATCAGGGATCTGGGTCGTCGTTGAAATCATGGTCTATCACCTGACTTATTTTTTGGTCGAAAACGGTTTCGAAGGGGAAATTTGTGATATTTTATAGTGAATATTTCCACAATACCTACTTGTTAGCACTGTTACATGAAGGGAGACTGAGAGGATCGTTATCAAAAGTGTAAACTCAAACTTTCTCTGTGATAAGTTTTACCAAATTTTCTGATATTCTCGGCGTTCATTGGTCCTATCGAAGTCTACGTCTAGTGAATATCGTCACCTAATTTCATTTTCTGAGGGACCAAACTTAACCTTTGAGTACAAATATGTCGGCGGTCCGAAATGGAATAGGATACTGTGAAAATATACTGTAATTCACTCCTTATACTCATTACACGTTTCATTTAAGCACCAACTCTCTTTGTGTTCCTCATTCGAACCTTGAGTAGACTAACCAATTCATTCAGCATACGTTCATTAATTTCGTAGCCCTAGTCAAGGATCTCTAAACCCTTATTTTCTTTTATTTCACCGAGTGATTCAAATACGTTCATAAGAAGTCAATTTAGAATAATCTGCGGAAAAAAGTAGCTTCTATTCAGTGGAAATTTAAAAATCAAAACTCTGTGACATCTAGAAACATGCAGAGAAACTATTAAACTGGTCATGAGCCTTTTGACCTAAAATGCTGATTTTAAATTCTTATATCTATATGTCACAGCCGGCATGTATAACACCGGATATGAAAATTTCATGGGATGATATGAATTTAAGGAGTGAAACGAGAATAATGAGCTTTTGACTGATCCATCTGTTGTCAGCAAACATGGAGAACTAATCTTTGAGTTTGAAGAACAGAAAAACACATAAGTGAAGCACTTTGAAGGACTCGTGAACAAATCAGACACACTGAATCCACCGGACATCGAAGCAGCAACTACAGATTTCCTCATAGATGCCACCTCACCTATGATCGAAGAAATAAGAATAGCCATTAGATAAATCAACACTGGGAAGGCGCCAGAACCTGACAATGTACTATTTAAAGCACTAGATTCAGACATAGAGGCAACTGCAAACATGCTCCACATTTTATTCAAGAAGATTTGAGAGGAAGAACAAGTGCCGAAGGACTGGAAAGAAGGATATCTCACCAAGATACCGAAGAAAGATCCTAGCACATGTGAGAAATATGGAGACATCGCGCTACTGTCAATACCAAGGGACCTTTCATTAGTGTTGCTGAACAGGATTAAAGACTCATTAGGTGTCCAACTTCGGGATCAAAGGCCGGTTTTCGTAAGGATCGGTCGAGCATACACTAAATCGCGACGCTATGTGTCATCGTTTGCCAATCAAATGGATCAGATTCATTACTATATATCGAATTTCTTAACTATTAAATGGCGTTTGGCAGTGTGGGTAGGGTAAGAACCTGAGAAGATCGTCACAGTCATATGGAATTAATACGATGATTCTCAGTTAACATTAACAAGTGCGCATACGATAAAGCCTATCGTCATTTGACTCTAATGAAATATTTCTTTCACCTAGGAGTAACGAACTTCTGAAAACTGTCAGAACTTGAATCACCTACATCATCTACAATAATGGATTTTATATCATTGGAAAAGAACAAATAAGGTCAAAATATTGTGACTACATGAACTAATGAGTGAAATCGTTCATACAGCAAAAGAGGTAGTTGTAGATAGACTAAGTTAGTTGCTTTAGCAAACTGACTGAGACTGAGTAATCATGAACATTCTTCGTCGTCATTGTTAAAAATACTGTATTTGAATATTTTTGTCTTGTTATTTCCAAAATAAACCGGCTTGAAATCGATAATAATTGTAGAGGTTAGTTCGGACACTCGTGTTCGTGCCTTGTTGATATTCGAAGCAAAGTGTTTTGGGCGTTTTGACTGATTCTAACGGTAATTGTGTAATATTCAACTACATTATACATTTCACTGCACTTCTTTGACTCGAAGTAGTATGTAGACTGTCATAACAAACTCAATCTATAGATAACTTTGTCATTACTTGTAAATTTTCATGTTATTCAATCTACACAAACATTATAATGACCAAAAAACGTGAATTTTGCCGCTGACATCAAAATTTGAAGATCCATATGTCGTATCACAGATGGAATTACATTGCTGGACGACCTGAATTCACGGGTTGAGTGGATATATAGATAGTCACAAAAAGGAACCACATTATACACGTATTATTTCAACGAACTACTGGGTGTTTGTGATGCTACTCGGTTGATTCAGTAAAAATTCAAAGAACCTAGATAAATGCATAGCTCTCACCATATGATTAATCGTAAGTTTCTGGAATATTTTCATTGTTTGACAAAGGAACTCGTAATTTAGAAATTAGGCAGGCAGTAGTCGAAAGAGAAGATAATAGGGATAGTTCATTGTTTATTATAGAGTAAAAGTTTAAGTAAAGAAACGAGATGAAGAATTAGATCCAGATAACCATCCAGTCCTTGCTTATATTAATTGCCAGTCTATGTGTATTTACTACGATTAAGGGCTATATTTTCTGATGGTTGATGTTTTAACAAGCCTATTCCTCTGAACCATGTAAATACTACTAAAGCATGTTAAAGAGCCATAATGGCTAAACATATAGTTGGACATTACCAAATATAGGTCGAGATAGCAAGCTGCGAATACCAATCAATATTGCAATACAATACATGTATGCAGTAATCCACGGACTGATAGAATAGTGGGTTCACACAAGTAAAAACCAGTCGATTACGTTCAAGTAAACGTAAGAATTAATAGCAAGTTGAGTTTCTTTGGTCAGTGTCGCCAATGTAAATTTCTGGTCTAGTTAGATATTGGTGCATTTGTCTTTGCTACCATAATAATAAACATGATAACAAAATTTTCATGATGTGAAAACCTAATTAATGAGATCTTACGTGGAGTTCACACCATACTCTGCGTCGATTCGTCATATTGTAACAGTCAGCAATATGATGTTTAGTACTTCCGAAGGGCACTAGGGATTAGTTATACAGAATGACCACCCTCTGAAAAGCTAAGACATACCATATTGAACGATTCTTCCTGTGTTCGCCATTTTTGATCTCTGAGTGTCACATGTATGGATACCAATACCACTACAGTTTCATTACTTGGACGAATAACTGTTTATGGTATTATACCCGATTTTTGTGAGGCCACATTTGGATTGTGAGATTCATTAGACGAGTCCTCGTTTCAAGTATGACGCGGGTATCGTGGAAATACACAAATGGCCATGAGCCAAAGTGGGTAAGAATCTCCCTGGCCTATCTTATGATAAACGACTGGGATGCCTCAACCCATGTCTGTTATCTCCCTGTAGGTTACGAAATGATTTAACAATGGCTTATAGTTTACTTGAGGATGGTCCCGGTATGAATGTATATTATCTTTCTTTTTCATCTAGAACTGTTTGCCTGAGAGTAAATTCTAATGAACCGTGATCAAATTGTTTATTCCTAAGTCCTATTTCTCAAAGTGGCCAACAAATTGCTGGAATCGTACTCCGGAACACATAAAATCAGCATATTTTGATATATTCAACGTGTGATATTAGCCGTATTACAAACTGCAAGGATTAGTATATGTAGATTGACATACTATTGCTACTACTAAAGACTGAAGTTGGCTTCCTATGTTCTTGTATATCATCCACGTGATGCACTGGTTACCGTTGAATTAGTGCACATGTTCTCACACACAACTCATTCTGATTTGGTCGGTTGTCTTCTTCAAAATAGTTACCAATAAGCCTATTGCTCACGTTTAAAATCCTGCCATATAACATATTTCCTAACAACTATGATCTAACAATGTGAATCTGTCTCTGTCATTCCTTGGAATTATTTTCACTATGTTACGATGATCGTGGATGTTTATATGAACTTAAGGACGTACACAGTTCTAACTATGACAAGCAACTTATAAATCATATATATATATCTGGTTTTCATTCTATCGATTCGATCTTTTCATACGCTTCGGGAATACTGATTTAAAGAATTTTCATATTTTTACCGGTTCACTGCAGTAGTATACAATGCCAGCTAGCTTTATATCACCTCACAACTTCTATGTTGCCAGCCATCTGTGTATATTATGGCAAAGTAGGCAAAGTTCATCTTCAGATTATTGAACCGTTGAAGAGTAAAAAATTCGTGCTAAAACTTTAGTCTGTCCTTGTCGAATTTTCTGAACATCACGATTTCGCTGATTTTCACTGATCTCCTACTCTATAGAGTATAAGTTTATTATCTGAGCCCAATATTTCGCCTGTTTCTACTTACTTCTGACTCTCCATATTCAGGCTCTCATAGCACACTAAGTACTTCCAGGCTGGACAAGAACTGCTTCACTAACAAATATGCTTGATAATACGATTGTTTCCTCGGAAGATGTCTCTAACCTCTGGAACCTGGTGATATGAAATAAACACATCTCGTACAAAAGGTTGGTTTTATCTTACTGCCTGGTATTCATAGATGACTCTCAATAATTGAGGGGCCATAATAACAGGCATGAGTCACGTCACAAGTTTATTGCATACGTTTGTGCACGTGGGTACAGTATTTAGTTTATAAGCAGTAATTAACTACAAATATAAATGTGCAGTATTGTCTAAACAAATCTTATCATCAGGTTATTCAACTAATAACTGTTCAATTAGTAGTCGAATCTAAATTACAATAAATAGATAATTTGGTAAGGAATGTAAGAGAGTTACCAAGTGCAATAAACGAACGTCATTCTGTTCTTTCTGGATAGATCGCGTACAGATTCGTTCGAAAGATAATATTTAATTGCGATATAACAAGGAGTGTTTCTAGTTCTGGAAGAGTGCTTCATGCCTGTAAAAATGGCGTGTACCTGCTCATGCAGAAATATATTATTATAAACAACGTGAAAATCATGCGATATTAATTTAA